GCCAATTTCATGTTTAACTTAGTAGTGCACACAAGGTGTTCGCTGAAATGCCTGTTTTCCATGCCCTGTTGTGGCCACCGGTTGGGGCCCTTAATGATGTAGTTTGAGGGTGTATTTGCTATGGATGTGAACCTTGAGTTGCCTATTTTCTTGTGAATGTGCACCCCCACCCTGATTCTGCTTGATTTATCGAGATTTTGACCCCCGAACTATGGATGAAACCATGGTTAGGCTGTTTTCTGTTCTTAAGTGTGGGGGTGCGCTTGACCTTTTTCTTTGGCTCTTTTGGGTTCCACTTTGGGTTGTTGTTTTGCAGGGCAATGGCGAAACCTAATTTCCAGCACCCGTTCATCCGGGATCTGAGGAGGGGACCCACCGCAGAGCGCTTCAAGGAGGTCGCGGAAACCCCGTTTGGGTCACACCATTGCTGGTCCAAACGGGAGTTTCGGCGATTGCACTGCTACGAGCAGCTCTCCGCCGCGGTCGCCAACACCGCCTGGCGCCGTTTGCTCCAGCTCTGCGAGAAGGTCTACTACGAGCCGGTGTGGGAGTTCTACACGACCTTCAAGCACAATACCACGGACAACTGGCAGGACGGTACGGCCGTCCAATTCAGGCTGGGCGGGGTCCCCCGGTCCTTGAGCTACCACGAGCTGGCCGAGGCTCTCGACCTCGACCTCGACGACCGTGAGGACTACGTCACCGAGGTGAATGAGCCACCGGAGGTGGACTTCGGGAGGCTGTACACCAGCCTGGCTCGGCCAGGCCAGACGCGTCCCTTCCGGTCCGGGAGGACGAAGGCCTCTACCCTGCAGATCGACAACCGACTTCTCCACCACCTGCTGGCGAAGTCTTACACTCCTGCAGCTGACAGCGCCGGCGCCATCACGAAGAGGTCCCTGTACTTCCTCCATTCGATCCGCCAGCGCCGCCATCCTCTCCACCTGGGTTCAGTGGTGGCCAAGACCTTCGAGAAGACGGCCACAGAGCTGAAGAGCCTCCACTGCGCCCCCCTCATCACCCGCCTGGCCACCTTCTTTGGCCTTTCACTGCAGGGGTGCACCGAGGAGGGGGACACCCTCATCTTTGGCCGCACGACGATCAGGAAGATGCTGCTGTTGCGGGAGAGGAACGGTGTTCAATGGGTCGATGGGTTTCCGGAGCCTCCGATCCCCGCGGAGCCCGTACCAGAGGAGGAGGAGGCTGCCGATGAGGTGGATCCCGAGGAGGTGGATGCTGCTGCTGATGCTGCTGATAATCCCCCACAGACTGACTTCCATTTCGGGGGTAGCAGCTCCGCTTTCCAGGGCCAGGATTACTTCGCCCAGCAGTTCGAGCAGCTGAGGATCCAGAACCAGCTGCTCCTCGATCACCAGATGCAGTTCCATCAGCAGTATGCGGCCGACCAGGCCGAGTACCGGACCAGGATGGATGCTTATGCCGAGCGGCTGAACACGATCTCGACTCAGCAGGGCGTGACTCTTGCCCACATCGAGCGGGAGAAGCGCCGTTCCCGGCGCATGCAGGAGGTCCAGCAGCACCTGCTCCAGCTGCTCCCGGGCGAGCCACCTGTCTGGAGGACTCCCTGGGATGACTCCCCTCCACATGACGGTGCTACTGGCGCTGCGGATGATGACGCGTTCATGAACGACATCGACCTCGACGATCTTGGCGACGAGTAGGCTGTACTCGTTGCCCGTCTCAGTGTGTTTTCTTTTTCATTTTAGACTTTTGTGTGTTTGCTCCATGTGTGCGGAGCTTGAACTTAGTGTCGTTTGTTTTTGTTTTTGGTTTTTCCTTTGTGGTTTGATGTAGCCGTCTGGGCTAACACTTATCCCTAACGCACAGTGTGCTAGTGTGTTTCTGATGTTCGATTTGTGCAGCATTGTCCACTCTCCCGTTCGTTTCTCGCCGACTGGTCCACTTCCAGTCCCCCAGCAGTGTTCCTACCCGGTAACATCGTTCCCCTTATCTTTCCCTCTGCTCCATTGAGGGCAATGTCGTTCTTAAGTGTGGGGGGATGCTTTGTATCGGTTGGAATATTTATGATGGTGCTTGGAGCCTAGTCCGCTGTCCGAATCTTACGATTTGAGGGCTCCAAGTACTGCTGTTTGATCATATTGGCACTGTGTTTTGATGGATGAATTGATTGGTTTTCGGATTAATGCATGACAACTTGTTTGCGACTAGGACAACCTATGATGAGGACTGAGATGTGCAGTAGAACGATGTAGGGGTTCAGTTTTTCAACTGTTTGCTTGCCAACTGTGACTTGATCTGACTTGATCTGATTACTTGTTCTTAACAGTCGTTTATGCATCTAGTTCAGGGTAGCAGAATATGAGATAGAGCATATAGGTAGCCATGTGAGATTTGAGCCTGCTCGTTTCTTTCTTGTGCGATAGATCCCTCTTCCATGATGTGTAGCATTCACGTTGTCACTAGCTGAGATGATGGGGGCATAGGATTAGCCCACGCCCAAAACTGACTGTCCTGATGTGTCATATCCCCTAGTCAGCCCCTTTGAGCCGTGTGTTATCCTTTCTTTTGGTCTATAATGAAAAGAAATCACCCTTGTTGCATCTTTTAGAAGGTTCCACAGAGTGGTTTTTATATATTCTCTGCTGTTTCTGCTAAAGTCTATGTGAGTGTTGGAGGTAGTGCTTAAAAGTTGGGCGGATGTTTGAAATATGTGCAGGAGTGGTGGCTCTCTTAAGAAATGAAAAGAAAAATGAAAGTGAAACAAAGAAAAAAAAATTGAAAGTAAAAGAGAGCCACTACAAAAAATCTGAATAATACCCAGTAAGTAGTGTTTCTTAGCAGTCTGGCTTGGAAATGCTGATGTTTATGCCTCCTTCGCTCTTGTGCTCTTAAGATATTGAGTAATGCAGGATAGCAGAAAGAAAATACCGGGTTGCTGACTGTGTTTGTGTGTTCGGGAAATGTGGAACCTTTTGCTATGAATACTTCCACCACCTAAAAGGCCTTTTCCCCATGTCCAAGACCCTAGCCAGTCATTTGAACCTGTGTCTAAGACCTCCTGATTAGTTAGTGGTGACACCCCATATGTGAACTCTAGCATTTAGAGGCTGCCATCATGGTGAAGAGATGATAGGGATTGAGAGAAATAGCATGCGCATCTTTCGCATCAAATTGTCCTGACCCCACTGGTCGAGAGTGAGTGATTCATTTTCATTTTCTATATGCTCTTGTACCCCGGTGAGGACCTAGATTGCTCGGTCTCTATTCTGATGTCTTGAGTTGGATGCATGAGTTGACTGTTTTGAGTAAGTGGTTGAATCAAGTCTAGGTTGGCCAGTGAACAGACGGGAGACTCTTCCTTTACTCGATTTGCTGCACTCGAATGTCCTTTGTGGTGGTTGTCCAGGTTGTTATTGAGGTTGTGCATGTATTGATGTTTGAAAACCAGTGCGATTCACGTGTTCTGTGCCTTTATGACTTGTCCCCAATGTTGGTTGATTGAAATATGTAAGCTTACCTAGTGTCTGACTTGGTTTGCTTGGGGACAAGCAAACGGTTAAGTGTGGGGGAGTTTGATAGACCGTCATTTACACATGTTTTTACCCCCGTTCTTACACCGTTTGAGGTGTTGATTCTCGTGTTTTAGGCCGATTTCACGCTAGGTTGTGCTTGTTTGTGATATTTCAGGTCCTAGTACGTGAATGAAGGCTTAGGAGCGAGTCTGGGGTCGATTGGACGAAGAACGGACGAATGGCGAGGTTTTTGGGGAGCTGCACGGGCAGACCAGGGAGGCTGCACGGCCGTGCACGGTTGCAAGCTGGCCGTGCGCCTCATGCCGAGGAGCTGCACGGGCAGGCCCTGAAGATTGCACGGCCGTGCACCTGGCCGTGCAAGAAGCCTGAGTTCGACTTAAGGGATACGCTGCGTTTCATGGTGCACGGCCAGAATGGTGAAGTGCACGGCCGTGCACCCTGGCCGTGCAACTCGGGAAACTCGGTTTTAAAGCCTAATCCGAGCCAGAAGTGAGAGAACAGTGTTTTCAGAGCAAAAACAGAGCCCTAGAGAGAGAAAGTACGAAGAACACATCCTAGAAGCTGTCTTAGAGCTGGATTTCATCGAATCGAGCCTAGAGATTGTCATAGGAGTGAAAATCATCGTCCCGGAGCAGATTATCCTCATCGTTATGAGTATGACTAATCCGATTCTTGTTTTCTCTTCTCTCTCTATGGAGTAGAACCCTTCTCTCACTTGGGGGTGAAGAACCCTAGTTCTATGTGTTAGGGATTGATTGTAATGACTTGGGATGATATTACTGTTTGGTTTTAATCGATTGAGACATGCTTTATTGAGTCAATTGAATCTTGATCAAATTCTCTTGATTTCTGCTTTAACCTATGATAGATAGAATCTGATTAGGTTAAGAGAGCTTCCTTGATTGATAGTGGTGAATTGGTTGTGCGAGAGTCAATCAATTTACTGCTTTGTACTGGAATCTAATTCCAGTAGTGAATTTCTGTTCTTACTGCTTCAGCTTTCTATCCCGGTGAAGACTAGTCGTCTGCCGGGTAGTTAGACTGAGAGGGCTTGGTCAGCTTAAGAGATTCCAAGCTACTGCCGGATCTTCCGCAGTCTAATCAACAGTAAATCAACCCAGGGTAAATTGCAAGTGAAACCTAACTAAAGAGCTAGGGGGATTCATTCCCGAGTGACTCTTTCCTGCTTAAGAAAACCGAATAATTTCCTGCTTTATTTCTGCTTTTAGTTTAAACAACAATCACTTACTCTAGTTGGCTAGATAACAGAGAATCACTGAGTAAGCAGTAGATCTAGACCCCGGGTTGATAATATAACTTGCCTGTTACTGCATTCCCGGTCTGCGATTACACTTGGTCGCAGATTGGTGTTGTGTTTTGGCGTGTCACCGTGACTGTGCCACCAGGCAACTGGCTATTGCCGTGTGATCACTCTGCCAACGCAGGCGAAAGACTATGTTCATTTGTCTATTCTTTAGAAGATACACTCGGTTTATAGTTTAATTCCAAGCGTCAAATTAGTTTCGAACTGAAATAACATCTCATTCAAGCAAGCATGCTCCTCATAGAAAGGAAAACTGCCACACATAAAAGCTAGGGCTTGAAAAAAATGAAGTAATGCTCGGAAGAACACAACAAGTATAAAAGGTAGCCGACAACAGGGAAGTAGGGATACAACGGGCCAGAAGGGGAGGGATGAATCATCAAAGTGCTGCACGGATTGATAGTATAACTCACATGTTTCCTCTTGTTCGAAGGCTAGAAACGATTCCTTCTGCCTCCTATTTCAAGTTCAAAGGATATGGCGACGCTGCTGGTCGTGAACGCAGGGAAAGAAACGGGGCGGTGGTTGGTTTCTCACGGAAGAGGTTATAGGACGGGGCGGTGGTGATATTTGTTTAAGCAAAACCAGGTTAAAGGGGACGCCATTCGGGTTCCCGTTACCCAAATCTGACGGTCACTCTATAGGGTTGGGTTCAATGCAACGAATACGTTAAAGATTGGGCTAGTGTAGGCCCAATTCGACTTCTCTTTTCCCTTGGAGGGGTGTGGAATGTGGATACTATAACAACACCTCCTTTGTTGTTATAGTAACAACAAGGGTAAAGGATCCATTAACACAATATCTAATAAATTAAAAAAACAATATTCAGCTGCAGCCATCTCTCGATCTTCTTCCTCTCGTAGATCTTTCTTTCTTGTCGACTCCTTCTCCTCCAATACTCTCCCCGGCGTCGGCGCCGACCAATATGAACCTTCGAACCTCTCCACGTCGTCTCGCAGGAACTGCAAATGCTTCGTCTGTGGGTCGCGACGGCGATGTTGCTGACGTGGAAGGCCTGGCGTTGCACGAACCTCACGACCGGCGGGGACTTTCCTGCTGGTGACCGAGGAGGGGGTTCCGCGCCAGCTGGTCGGAGTGGCCTGCGACGACGGTCGTAGAGGAGGAGGCAGAGAATGGTGGCGATGAGGATGATTACCAGGATTTAGAAGGCAGATGATGGCCACGGCATACAAGTCGAAGTCCACTGCATGTCGGCCATTGCCAGAAATTGCATAAGGCTCCGCAATTCCTCTCATCTACAAGAAGGCTTATTAATGACAAATCGCCCAATCTTCAAAACACAGGAGCAGAAACAGAGAAGAAAAAATCAATATAATGGGGGATCTCTATGCGTTGGACTTCGACGAAGTTCTATGCGATAGTTGCGGAGAAAGCTCTCTCTATGCCGTCATGGCCCGTAACCTCTCTTTTCCCTTCGCTTTCTGTTAGGTCGCAGAGAGAACTCCAAGAACTCTTAAGCATCAAATTGAAACCTTTAGTATGTTTGTTAAGTACTTTTAGGCTGTGAAAGTGAGATGGCCAGATATGTTAAGAATAGAAGTGAAAAAAGTTGGAGATAATTGAACATAAAAGAAAGCCAATGCTAGGAATTGCTAATTATTGTTTAAAGTGTTTAAGAATGGTTTTTAATGAAGTCTGACTGAAGCAAAAAGCAAGCCATAACTATTTGATAGCCACACCAAAAATCTTCTAAAACATACCAGAAAGCTCACAAAGCATACCACAAATATTTCATGTGCAGACCACAAACACGGTAAACAAACCACAAAATGCATACCAGAAACCTCTCTATGCATACCTCAAATTCCCTAAAACAAACCAGAAACCCCACAAACCAAACCACAAATATTTTGAAAGCACACCAGAAACCTCATAATGCAAACCACAAACACGTGGGACAGGTTACGATGATTACTATAAATTAGTAATCATCGTGGTTACTAAGGGCAGATTGGGTATGACAAAAAATTTATTAATTACCTTTTTTAATGAAATACATTTTAGGAAATTAAAAAATTATATTAACTATAATTTTCTCTCTCTTTCTCTCACTTTCACAATCTTCAGCCAGATGCCTCTTCCTTCTTTTTCTCAATCTTTCCATTGATTTCGTTCTGTCGAACTAATATCGCTGCAACAATAAAACAATACCGATCCATTACGAAACACTACCATTGCACAAAACACCAATACCATTCGAGAAATGAAAACACTACCATTTCACAAAAAACCAATACCAATGCGACAAAAACAATACCAATGCGACAAAAATAATACCATTGCGACAAAATCAATATCAATGCGATAAAAACAATACCATTGTGACAAAAATAATACAAATGCTACAAAAACAATACCATTGCATTGCGACAATAATAATACCATTGCGACAAAATCAATACCAATACGATAAAAACAATACCATTGCGACAAAAATAATACCAATGCGACAAAATCAATACCAAAACAAAACAATAAAAAAATATATATATACCAATCCCCCAAAAATACATACCAATCCCCAACTGGCACAAGCAGGCGTGCAGAAGGTTGGCCGGAGCAAATATAGAGAGGGAGGGGATCAGGAGGTTTGGAGAGAGAGGGAGGGGGAAGGCTGGCCTCGGCCGGAGCAGATTGCCGACATCACCATCTAACCCCTCCACCGCCATCTGAGAGAGAGAGAGAGAGAGAGAAAGAGAGAGAGAGAGAGAGAGAGAGAGAGAGAGAGGGAGGTTGCCCGCAAATGTGGGCGAGGGTAGCCGGAGGGAGGGTGGTTGCTGGCAGTGAGAGGGCAGGATAGGTGTTGACGGCGATATAGAATAGGGTTGGAGTAGGTTTAGGTATAATATATAGGAATTAATTTTTTAACGGATAGAAATCAGGTGCAATATTTTTTTTATTCTCAAAATTACTCTTAATCTAATCTTTACTGTCAATTTAAAATTAGAGTAAAATATAGATAATGAAGGGTCTAGATTTTAGTAGCCATGGTGATTACTCAATTTTGAGTAATCATCCTAACGCATCCCACAAACACGTTAAAGCAAACCACAAAAAAATAAATCATAAACGTCCTAATGCAGACCACAAATCCATTAAAACAAACCAGAAATCTCGCAAATCAAACCATAAATTTTTCGAAAGCACACCATAAACTTCTTAATGCAAACCAGAAACCTCCTAATGCATACCACAAATATCATAAAACAAACCACAAACCTCACAAAGCAAACCACAACATTTGCGAAAGCACACGAGAAACCTTCTAATGCAAACCACAAACACGGTAAAGCAAACCACAAAAACAAACCAGAAATGTCCTGATGCATACCACAAATCTATTAAAACAAACCAGAAACCCCGCAAAGCAAACCACAAAATTTTTTAGAACACACCAGAAACTTCTTAATGCAAACCAGTAACACGATAAACCAAACCACAAATAGCATAAAAAAACACGAGAAACCAAACCATCAACCTCACAATGCAAACCATTATATCCGGTGGTCGTTGACCAAACTCTGATGACCGTCAGTGGGTAGATTCCGGCGCCAATAGGCATATTCCGGCCCCGATGACTAGATTCCGACGCCGGTAAGCATATTCTGGTGACGATGAGCATATTCCTATGACAAAATAGCATATTCCGGCGACAAAAAGCATATTATGGTGACCGGTGACCAGTGGCATAATTCCGGCGACCAAAATTTTGGACAAAAAATAAAAAAATTATTTTTATTTTTTATTATTATTTAAGCATATTTTTCATAATGACAATTATACCCATGTTTTGATTTTACACTAGGTTAACTAAACCAATAAAAAGTCATCACAATCCTAGCTTCCTATTGGTTGGAGACTAGTGTTGTTATAATAACAACAAATATGGTGTTGTCACCATATCTGCTCCCCCTTGGAGCGCTATTATTCTTCTGGTTCGAGCTGGGGCTGTGGTTGTCCTTTGTACTTGTGCAGTAAAGATTAACCCTATGTTTTTTAAGAGTGGAAAAGGAGGGGAAGGGGAAAAGGGGAAGGATAGTTGGAATTCCAAAACATTTTCCTCCGTTTCCGAAGAGAGGAACAATGCGCGAGGAACAACGGCGGATCCGGGACATAAGAGAGCACTGGGCCGTATTTGAATAGAATATTAGATACCATAAACAAAAATATATAATAATATAGTTTTCATTACAATACCAACTGTACAAGAAGGTATTTTAATTTAGCAAATTCATCAATAATATAATCTCCATCCATACTGATAATATACTCTTTTTCAAAGAAAATAGCTTAGTAATCAACGATAAATTCATCGCTCATTTTGTTGCACAAATCAATGTTCATGTTCCATTGCTGAAAATATTCTCTTCATGGTAGTTGTTGAAACGACTAGGTCAACACTAGACAAATCAACCGACAAATCAATTTGTATTATGTGTCTATCCCTGTTTCCTCCAGCTTTTCTACTAATTTTGCAAGAGAAGAAACTTCATCCTCACATGAGTAGTGCATTCTCCAAAGAATGCATCTCATAGCCTTCAAAGTCTAGAGGATAAACTCTTGAGCAAGTTTGTAAATATTCTTCATCAAAACATGATAACGATGTATTTGCACATGTTTGCATTCTTAGTTCTTACCCGTTTGCGGCTAGTAGTCGTGTATTTTTGGCCCGTTTTACGCCGGGTTGTGCTACTTTGTCATATTTCAGGTCCGGACGTCGAAGGAAAGGCTAAGCACAAGTTTCGGGGCATTGGGAAGTCATTCGGTCGAGCTGGGGCCAAAGCACGGGCTGGCCTAAACCAAAACACGGTCGTGTACACAAACAGGCACGCTAGTGTTTTTATTGTCGAGAGCTGAACTGATGGAAAGGCAAAACACGGGCGCGCCTAAAGCAAAACACGGCCGTGTCCATATTTAGCCACGACCGTGTTTTGGCCGACGCGGGCGTGTTTTTAACACGGGACAAAACACGGGCGGGCAAAACCAAAGCACGGCCGTGCCCTCGACCGTGTTTTGCCCAGGGTCGCCCTTTATAGGCAGATTTGAGCCAAAGGAGAAGGAGTTCCGAGTTTTAGAGAGACAGAGCGATTCCTAGAGAGAGAAAGCAACGAATTAGAGTTCCCAAGTGCCCTAACTTGATCTTCATCATCATTGGAGCCCGGCTTGAGCTTGGAGAAGTGCTGATTGACGACCAGGAGCAGAAACCCATCCTTCACAGTATGGTTTCCGCATCTGCATATGCTTTTGCTTCTCTCTCCATGGAGTAGTTTTCCCGTTCATCTGGGTTTGGAGAACCCTGGATTTGTATGTTAGGTCTGATTGTATGAATCCAAGTACAGATTCTATGATTTGATTATATTCAATTGAGGCTTGAATGATTGAATGACCTGAATCCTGATCAAATTCCTGTTATTTCTGCTTTAGCCTAGAAAGAGAATATCTGCCTAGGTTGATAGAGCACCCTTAATTGAAGGTAGTGAATTGGCGACTTTAGTCGAGGAGCCAATTCACTATTCTGTACCAAAGTTACTTCGGTATTGGAGGTTTTGTTCGTTAGGGCCTCAATCTGTTTACTCCGGTGGAGATTAGTCGCCCGCTGGAGACTCAGATTGAGAGGGTCTGGAGACCTTTAGTCGAAACTTCAGACTGTTTAAGAATCTCCCGCAGTATAACTATCATAGAAACTGAACTTGGTAAATTGCAATCCGGCTTAACTGCAGTCTAGGGGGAACCATATCTGGGTGACCTCTCTCGACTTGATAACAACCGTTTAATTGCTTGCTTTACTTGTTTACTTGTTTGAACTTGCACTAAAGTTTCACCGCTAGATAATAAGAATTCGCTGAGTATTCATCACATCTAGAACCCGGGTTGACATTAAAACCCAAACCCGCTATACTACGCTTTAGGAAGTGGTTACACTTGGCCATTTTCTAGAGTGACAGTAGGAGTGAGTCAAAACACCATAAAAAAACGGTTAGAATCCAGTGCTCCACTCAATTGAGGTAATCTAAATGATGACTCAGCAAGTCTGTAAATATTTTCTTAATCAAAAGAATGGAAAGAAAACCAGCTCGACGGGCTGGAGGAGATATCCATTTTGGATATGCTCGTCTCCTCGTTCTTGTTTTGTTTTGGGGGGATTGGGAAAATTTTTAAATTTTGCAAGGAAGGGTGTGCTTTAGTTTAGAGTTTTTTTTTAATGAAACCTTACACTTTTAGGTTTTCATGTCTTTTTTCAAATAAAATCATTGGGGCTATAGAAAATTTAGTATAAATTTAGAGTAATGGTTTGGATATGTTCATCTGAACCATTTTCTTAGTTACACAAAATCCTATTATCAAATAAAACTAGACAAAATTTTAAATAGCACTAGGCCAAATACCTAAATCGAAAATTTTAGGGCTGGCAATTCGGTTATCTCGGTTATAACCGGTAATCGATTGGCCGGTTATCGGTTAACCAAAATAAACACCCCCTTACCGAAAACCAACCGAAATAGGCTTCGGTTTCTCGGTTACCTTGGGTATCGGTTAACCGAACCAATTTTAAGACCAAAAATCATTTTGGCCAGCTTCTGATAACCGACCAAAGTTCGGTTACTTCGGTTAACCGGTAACCGAACTGCCACCCCTAGAAAATTTTATAAGCACTAAACTAACTCTGGATCCGGAGGAGGGCTGGGCCGGGGCCTGGGTTGGCCCAGCCCTGGATCTGCCATTGGCGAGGAAAAAAAGGGGAGGGGAAAAACACTGTTTTACCCAACCCTCCAAATTGGAGGGAAAGCGCTGAGTGGGCTTAGTTTTTTTTTATTTTATTTGCATCATCTCTCTTTTATCTTTCTTCTTCGTTCTTTTCCCCCTTTCTTCTTTGTTCTTATTTTCACAAAACCCATAAAATCCTCACCTGCAAAAGGAAGAAAATAATTGGAAACCAATTGAAAGTGAAAAAAAGAATAAAAACGAACCCAGAAAAAACATCTTCCAGGTGAAGCTACTATGTTGCCCCATCGTCGATCGTCGGCAAGGATGTCGACGGCCGTCTCTAGTTATCTCCTTTCATCGATGTAATGAAGACTCCAAAACAACTAAATTCAATTAAAATCAAGAAAAATACAAAAAAGTGAAAGAAAAGATACATGCATGCCTTGATCTTACCAGAATCGATACTCTACTTTTTGGATTGGGTTTACCAAAATCGTTTTGTAGGCCGAGAGAGGGAGAGGAAGATGAAAGGGTGGGAGAAAAGGGATCTTCTCTATACATGCAGAAAGAAATAAGAACGGAATAGATCTAGGAATTGTTTTTTTCTATTACACCGGAGCTGCCTCCGAGATCCGTCTATCAGCCTGCCAAAATCCCATCTGAATCATCCAAGAGAATCCTCGCCGCCTCTCGATCTCTCCGCCATCGTCGGCGTCTTGTCGCCAAATCTCTCTGTCATGTCGTCGGATCTCTCTGCCTCGTTGCCGGATCTTGTCAGTTGTCGCCTCTCGATCTCTCCTCCATCGTCACCGAATCTCGTCGCCGGATCTCTCCACCTCGTCGTCGGATGTGGGTGATATGAGAAAGAGGGGTCGTTTCTGGGTGAGGATGAGAAAGGAGTGGTCGAAAAATATGGTCGGTTTTTGGCGGAGGGACAAGGAAATGGGTTGTTTTTTTTAGAAACATGAAACGAAGATGGAAGGAAGGAAATAAGGAAAAGGGGGGTAATTGGGGTTGTGTATTTAGATAGGAAAGGATGATATGAGAAAGATGGCATTTTCTCGCCTCAATTCATTTTTACCCCACTTTTGAAGCTAATTGTATATAGGAAAGTAAATTTGAAATTATTTTAAGAGATACAGTAGTTTGAGTAATTCTTTTTAATAAAACAATATTTATGAAAAAACCCAAATGACATAAATCACAAACTACAAACTCACTGTGTATTTTATTATGTGTTTAAAACTCTCATTTTGTACCATAAGGCCTACCGTAAAGTCATAGATTCGGTGGAACGAACAATTCGACACCAAGATCGGACACTTCCAGTATATAAATCATTATTTGGACAAGCTTTTGCTCCTCGAAGTAGACAATTAGGCTCAAGATAATAAGGCTGCCTATTTGGTGCGGGTTTTTTGGTTTTACCTGAAACTGGATCATATAACCCGGACCGAGACCGGACCGGAACCGAATAGTAAACAATCCAATTCAATTTTCGGGCTTAGATTTGAGGTAAAAATCCGTTAGGGACCGGGTAAGAGAGCTCAACACCCAAAACTTAAGGGTAATTTGCATAAACGGTCACAAACATTTGCACTTAGTACAAAACTTAACCAACTCCTCACCCTTTCAGGCCTTAGGCCACTCAAATCCCCACAAGCTCAATATAAAATCAAAATCGAATTGGGACCGGACCAGCTCAAGACCGGACTGTATCCAATCCAATCTTTGGTCCTTATATTTTCAAAAAGACCGGACTGGACCGGATCAATTTGGGCAAATTTAACTGGACCGGATCGTATAGCCACCCCTACAAGATAGGGTGCATAACCTTAGTGTGCATAACTATGAGTAACTAAATCTGGACCCTTCTTTTAAGTGATTGCAGATCTAAGGGCGAAGAATTAAAGCAATTTATTTTCTCTAGTTTTCTTGATTGGATCATATCTTTTTCATTCTAACTCGGATTTCAATTTTTTTTGCACAGATGGAACGAGTTTATTGTACTCTACAAAATGATATCCATTTTCAATATTTTTTGAGAAAAAAATTGTATACCTCTCGTTACCAACTCCATACCATATGGTATCACCTTCTTTTTTTAGTCGTTTTCGAAAAATTTTGCACAGAAGGAACGATTTAATAATGATCTATTGGATTTCAAATTTTACTGGGTGAAAAAATTCCATACCTCTCGTTACCAACTCCATAGCATACTATACCACCCTGGTATGGGGTGGTATTTTTCATACCATATGGTATGCTGTTATTTAATACCAATCAATGCCATATGGTACAGTCAATATCATATGGTCTAGACTGGTAATAACTCACAAAAATTTTTGTTCCAAAAAATATCAAAATGGATACAATTTTAAAGAGCACAATTAATCTGATCTAACAGTGCAAAAAATTAAATTCCGAGTTAAAACGAGTGAGAAATCGTCCGTTAAAGATTAATAGAAGGTTTTTCAAGGAGAGAGAATGAGGTGATGATGTGACGAATTTTTATTGAGTATGCATGAGGTTATAGCACCACAATGTTACTCACCGGATCTCCTCCCACACAATTAGTCGGTCTATAGGACTTCCAAGTTCGTTTAAGGAAACACAGCCTCCCCCGGATCGGACAGGATGTCTTAATTTCTTAAGCATGTGTACACTATCATTTGGTCTATGTATATATTTGGTCTGTTATTATTATTATTATTATTATTATTATTATTTTTAAGTTTTGGAAGTTCAAACACTTCAAACTGATCACCAAACCTTTGCGTTTTTTAAGTTGCATAACTATAGTTGAATAATATGTGTAGACTACCATTTGGACGAAGGTCTTTGTCCAGGGAGAGCAGAGTTTGGGCTTAAATCTCACCAAGATCTTAAGCTTCGAATCCCCACTGAATGAGAGCAAATAGCTAGCCAACACTTGCATCATTTCCCGTACGTTACTCCATCGTTGTAAACAACCATTCTTAAAAAAGAGCATTGTATTTGTATATAACCAATAATTGATGTTTATAATCGATGCATGTGGAAAATCAACGACATTAGGTAAAAAGCTTTGCTCAAACAATCAAATCACTTCGACACAATGATACTTTGCTTCCACAAGTTAAAAGGAGGAGGAGAAAATTATAATGAGTGGAGGTGGAGCATTGTTTCTCCTTTTTGGGGAAGGGAAGGATCAGTTCAGTGGTGATGACCGACTATTTGCTTTCTCAATAAGTCAATCGCATCATGATATCATGAATAAGTATCGTTGGAGTTCACCTCTAGTTCAGTCGTTTGTGTTTATG